TATGTAACATGTTTACAACAAAAAATTATTTTTCGTTGCACCAGCAATTAGAATATTTTATTTTAAAAGTTAGATGTTCTTGTGATCGTATTTTACTTTTCAACATACTTGTAGATATATATTTAACTTTCTGTAAAGAAATTACCAGGAAATTTAGTTTGCATCGTCCTGATATTAGATAATGCAGTTGTGTTATACAAGGGAGGCATATTCGTGGTGTCAGGAATTCGTGACAAAGAGGTCTTCGAGAAAATAACACTACAGCTAAAGTCTCTGCATCTACAGTAAAGGAGTACTTGTCCCGTTGCCAGAGCTTTTGACTGTCTAGGTTAACGCAATTCTCACAGTTTAATAAACTTTAAATCCCCCCGACAGTCGTCAAATAGGTTTTCATTTCACGGTCGCTGCTGCCACCTCCGTCATCGTAACCGTAATCTTTACCGTTCACATTTGACGAGGGCCTTCGTGGGAACTGTGTAGCGCCTTCACCCTGCGTGGGAATAGGTGCTACGCGCTAGCTTCTGTCGCACGTTCACGGATCAGAGCTCACGAACACTATCCGAACGCCCACTTACAATCGTTAGAGGTAGGTCGGAGCAAGGTCGGCTGTGGTTGGCTGGTGTTCGGCGAGGTCGGCCGCTAACCGAATGTTTCAAAATGTTTCAAACATTGGTTTGGAGTTGGTTGGGAAGTTCGGATATGGTTGGCTGGTGGTCGGCTGTAGGTCAGTAGCCAACCAGTCAGGAGTAAGTCAGCAGAGTTCAGGGCACGTTCAGGGGTCAAATGTTACTCACATATTACTCAAATTCGTTTCCAATTGTATAAAAATATAGGGTGGGGGGCAAAACTGATCAGACTGCTCAGCAACGTCGGTAGTAGGTCACAAATGTGTGCCAGGGGCTTAAGGCGAAGAACTTGTACTCATGGTGCATTTTAACTCTGATATTCTTGAACTTTTATTCAGGTTACATCAATCTAGACTGAGTGAAGCATGAATAATGTATGTATCCAGCTTAATTTGCCGGATTTACCCCGAAATTAGGGTCGACTTAGGTCATTATATATATTAGTGCAAGTAGCTGGTTTACGGATGCAGATACTCCGTAAATAAGCTCTTTATTCATAGCCACTTTTTATCAGGAGCCGACGTTTCGATCATCGTCTGTTATCTGTGTCTGTGCTTTGCGCAGAGGCGATATTATAGCCGATGCCTTGGTCCTTATGCTTACCTGACTGAGATGACATAGTTGTCTCACCAGGTAGAGCGGCTTATCTATCGTTTTGTGCGCCCCTTTTTAGGGGATACTATTTTTTGTTTGGTCTGACCTACCATCAAAAACAGGTCCTTATGCTTACCTGGCTGAGATGACATAGTTGTCTCACCAGGTAGAGCGGTTTATCTATCGTTTTGTGCGCCCCTCTTTAGGGGCTACTATTTTTTGTTTGGTCTGACCTACCATCAAAAACACGTCTGTTATCTGTGTGGTATAATTGGCGTGATGAAGATGACAGACGGTCATCAAACGTCGGCTCTTGTTACAAGTCGTTGTGCATAAAGCAATTTTTTTATTTAGATAGACAGATACTTTTAGAATGTAATTTTACTGGCCACATGATAAGATATGATCGTCTGAGGGTTAATTTTCCATCTATGTTCCCATCTTCTCTTTCTGTCCTTCAAGTTTTCTGAACTGTTTATCTCAAAAATACTTGCAAACGAAGCTGAATCCTGCTACGTCAGCCCAGGTTACGTCCAATTACCCAGCATTAGGACCATGAAACACCCCGTAACTCCTTTTCAGCGCTCAGCAATCTAAGAGGATTTAGCGTTGTAGTTTGGCAGACGATGCCTTCGCAATGTGCAGACGATTTTCTCGGAAAATACAAATTTGGATGTAGGTCATAGAAAGGTTATGGGTGTTATGGGTGGACAGACTAGATCATCATTCGTCATCATTACCTCAATGTAAATCGGAGGTACTGTTTTTGGTATGTCTGTGCGTGGGTGTGTATGTGTCGGTTGTAATGGATATGGTTGGTTCCAGAGGCAGAAAGTCATTAATCATGTCTACATATCAAGAGCCTAGATCATATATGGCCTCATTCGGTCAATATTGACCATGGTAAAATCCTAATTGTTAACAGTCCTACAGCCTCGACTATGGCTGAACAGTCCTATACGAGAATAACAGCCTCTGCCACATAGGGCATATTTGTACGCTGACTAAGTTATGTTACAGTCACCATCACACAAGATCGTAATATTTCATGGAGGTCTGAGATCTCCGAATTCTTGTTATCGAGTGTTTCCTGCGTCTACAGGGTCTGGCACGCACCATAGCTGCATTAGATCTTATTAGATACCGCACCATACAAAAGGTCGAGATTACGAAGGTTGGAAAACAACAAGCCTTATCTCGGACTGATTGGTTCCTTTCATGGGAGCCTGGTTTAGCCTTTTATAATATCTAGGCACGCTGGCTCATTACTAGAGCGGACGGTCTGAAGTAGATAAGAGATTTACTTAATCACTTTTGGTTACGTCAAGGGTGACCTTAGAGTTGTGGCAATAGCTGAATTTTTTTTATTTTAGATGTTTCAAACAATATCATTAATGTGCCTGGGCGTTAATATAAGCTATAATTTCACTTGAGTGCGTCACCATTATGTATCGTTCTATTTAAATGTTAAAATAAAAAAAATCTACATTCTGAAAGGCAACCTTAACTGTCCATACATGTATGTATAACACTAACCCATTAATCATACAGACACGGTTCTGGGTACGGTACGGCCCTACCTTTCAAGCTTAGTCAGTTTCTAGCGGTAGGTTAGCTTGGGTTAACGCGTTGCATTTGCCGCGGATGTTTGTAATCTCTTTTATAACACAAGGTCACAGGCAACTGAGTAATCTGAACATCAAGTGCTGTGAGGCGTATTACGGGACGTCACGGTCATAAAAGACAGTTTCAGATAGTCCATCTTCTCACGTCAAATCACAGACGAGAACCTCAATATCCATGTCTCGACCTTTTGAAGTCGACGTGACACTTTTGCGCTTCAGACGATCTTGCGGCAAGCTAGACGGAAAGCCTGGATGACTATCGGATCCAGAACTGTGCCTATCTAGGTCTATGCCTGAATGGGTTAGGATTAGTACCAGGCACGGTTCTGGATAGTCTCCGTGTATACAAAATCGTAGATTCGCCCCAGTCATAGTTCTGGATACGTGTATGAGCATGGTTATAAAGCACGGTTCTGGATATATGCGAGTTAGTATCAAGCAGGGTGCTGGATAGTCTCCGCGTATATTCAAGAGGTCTGTACGTAGATTTGCCCCCGGCACAGTTCTGGATACGCGCGTGGACTATCTGATTAAGCAGGGTGCTGGATACAACAACGACTTAGGCCTAGGAAAATATTGTGTTTCGGGTTTCCCGACCGACCCTAGCCTTTTATTTGCTGAGGTTTAGAATTAAGGTTGATTGGATCAGAGAACTAATGATGACTAGAATAATACAACCAACAAATTAATTTAGTAGACATTTAAGTTACTAAAGGCATGCAATTAAGAGTTAATTAAATTGCTTACCTATTATACAATAAAGCATTATCATTAGGATTAAAACCATTGCTACAAAAATCACCATCAATTAACAGTCCATGGACGTTTGTATGACACACTGGTTCAAGATCACGTTCACGTCAATGAAAAGTAATATTTTCATGATGGTTCTACTTATGGATTTTGATTGATCAATCAATAAAACTGGACAGTGATAAATTTCCCAACCCTGTCAGAGAGGACCAATTCTTCAGTAGCATCCAGGTATGAGTTATCGCTGCCAAGCATGCTTCGTGGTGAAGAAACAGTCAAATGAATCATTTTGTACAGCTCAAACATTATTGGAAATAGCTTGAAATGTGTCATATAAAGTAGAGTGTATTCATTCCTCAAGCTAAGTTACATCTTTCACACCGCAGTCGTCCCTCAGTAAGACATCTGGAGCCGCATAGTTCCCGTTTAAGTATTTTATTCAGCCTGTCAGGACCGGTTTCGACCTGTGGGCTTCTTCAAGTGTACTGAAGTTAAATGGCACAGATACATAAAGTTATATCAGCTTAAAATATGTCACAATCACATAGAGGCTCATTGACAGTCATCAAACGTTTTTACAAGAATAGTGAAAGAAACCCGCGGTACCAACACCATCCCTTAGCAGAGACGGGGGAAGCCACAAACTTTCTGCAACGCATGAGTCACTGCTAATCGAGTCACGTGTGTATCTGTATAACGTGACGTCACAGAAGCGTCATAGAAGTGTTTATGTGTCATAGTTGATGTCACAGAAGCGGTGGATTGCTCATTCCTTGACAAAAACTGGAGTTGTACAGTCGAAAAGTTGGGTAAGTTCGACTTTGGTTCACAATTGGAGGAAAACATCGATGTTTGTTTGCTTGCGAAAAAAGTTCCATGACAATGGTCGATGTTGTGATCAGGAAATGCATGTGTTGTCAATAACATATGGCAAAACTACTTCACATATAAACGGTTACAATAGCAAACAAACCATACAAATATCATTACAATGTTTCCAAATTTCATCAGGTCGACATAGTCAAGATCACAAACGTCAGAACTGATTCTTGCGCCATTGCTCGCTTGTTCCAATGTCCCAAATCATCTTTTCAGCATTTCACTTGTTCAGTGACCCGTATATATGAATCATAAGTATATTAATCACATTTTATTTCTGATGTGTGAAATATTTACATATCAAGAGTTGCTCTGGTGTATCTGTGTCCTGATATCGCAGGCTGTACATGCCAGCAAAACGTACCCTGTATTTATAGCAACAGCAGTTGAGAATTTTTGCAGCCTTGTGTTTCTTTTTGTTAATAATAGTTTCTCAAGCTCTGTAAGTGAGAAAAATGCGAGACCAAATAAATTTTAAAAAATACGATTTAAGAAAGACGACAAAATAAATGTGCCATTGAAAACAAAAAGTACGGACGAAATCATGACGGTAGCTGCAGCTTTATATTTCGTCAGTGATGATTAATAAAGCCAGCAAGCTAAGATTTCACCATGGATGAGGCCTTTTATACCCACTGCTCCCTGTAGTTAACCACTCTAAACTTTGTCAGCTTTGCCAGAGAGTCGACTGCAGTTTTGTCGGGGGCATGTTTCCAAGTGGCAACATGGAATCTGCGAGTTTTACGAGGGAAACACAACGATAGTCCTGTACATGTCGAACCTAGGTCGCTGTCGTCATCAAGTTGGGAGTTGTTCGTGGTTGGTTCTTTGGCCGTTGTGTTGCAGGTTGTAATTTCGTCGTGTCTGTCTCTGCTTCTTCCCGGCGATGCAGTCAAACTGTGCGCCGAGGTTTCCTCGACTTCGATGCTTTTGGTAATTTTCAGGCTGGCGTGTTCACTTTGTGGATTCTCCTTGCTGCTCTCGGTGGTGTTTGGTTCCGTCTGCGGGCTCCAGGTGACCCCTCTCCGCTGCCGCAGCACCCTGTTCGCCCGGCCTGAGGTCTTGTTGTCTCCGGGTGGTTTACCGGGGAATGGGATCTTAGCCATCGGTCTTCGGAAGAGGGAGACGCCGAGGTTGTTCATCTCTGTATCGCCGATCTGTTGCCGAGGTATCGATGATAATGACGTCTGAACCGTCCTGAAAAACACAGAGAAAACCTTCTCCGTTAGTCCAGGAAGGGGCAGGTCACATTCATAGACATATGATCGTATAGTCTAATCGTAAGATGTGGGCATTCTTGGAATATACATGTAGTCGTGCATATTTGGTACCAGAATGCTAAGATGTGTTAGATCCTTTATTTGTTCAATTATACCCAATTGACAACAATGGCCAAACCTCCTTTCAACATTCAATTTCGTATGTTTGAACATTCTGAAACACTCGGCTGGGGCAGCTGTACAATAATCGGCCTGGCTGAACACCAGCGAGCTTGTTCCTCACCTACTCCTAACTCCATGGTGTTCAGGAGGCCATATTGGATTTTCTGTGTGTGTCACGGGCTTTAGGGAAGCAATGCTCTCTTATCTCCATTAAAAGTAATCTTCGCAATTCAATCCGACGGTGAAATCATAATTACAACAGCTCCAGAGACGTGTTAACCTTTAGACCGCCGCTCGGCTTAATTCTGTGTAACCTTCAAAATTCATTAAAGCCCTGGCTTCAACTTGTAATGAAACTGCAAGACGCCAGAGCAGTGATAACTAAAACGTAGCTAACGTTATTACACGTAAACATTGATACAATGTGATTATAGGTTACTCATGGTTGACATTTTCAGAATCAATTCCCCTCTTTCGTAGCCAGAACAGCTTTTTAAGTTTACTTAAAAGTAAGTTCATAAATCTTTGCACAAGTAATAATCCCACTTTCAGTAGGTTGTATAGATATTTTCCTACAGATAATTTAATTTTGGATGCACGAGGAGACCGAAAATCAATGAATTGCAGAATAATTCAGTTTGATGCACCAAGTAATAATAGATGTAGTTGAGTAAAAATTGATGTAGTTTCAAATTGCTTTAGTTCACTGTCTGGAACGGTCAAAAAGTCATCCGTTAAAAACTGTGCAATTGTAAAGGAGTACTTGGCAAGCAGCTTCGCCTACACATGGCTTCTGCCTGTCTCTACCCACATAGGCAGAGGAGTGCGGTGTAACCAGTTATCGCAACAGCAGGCTAGGGCCTGGGAAAATTCATATTGTGTTGTCAGTTTTTAGTCCTGAAAAAGCTAGGGTGAGTAGGTAGGGGTTTTCTTCTTTTTAAGTTTTTTTGTAGATTTTGGCTAAAATGATATGGTCCAACAAATAAAGTCTCAAGGACCTGCCCACCTGTTTCCTTGTGGACAAATATTTCAACTGATTTACTTTTAAAAATTTGCTTCTGAAAATGCGTCAAATGATCGATAAACAAGAGAAGGGTTCTACTGGAAACACAACAATTTTTCCTAGGCCCAGGTAGAATTAAGAGGCATGGCGTAGGTGTTAATGATCTTTTTAACGACATCATCATGTGTAAAAGGGTGTTAACATTGCGTCTCCGTCTGAAGGTTGGTGAGCTCGCTGCCGGCTGCTGTGTGGGAGGTGAGGGATGGTAACGGTCGGGGCGGGACTACAAATGTGCTTATCATGAGTCGTCAAGGCAATAAGCTTTACCAAGAGGACAATGAAGCATGGGATGTAAGTAATAAAGGCCTTGGAGACTTTTTTTAGTCGCAAGCTCGCATCAGTTTTCGGTTTCCCAGAGGATGTCATCACGGAAGGAAGATCATTGTAGATCAAGCCACGTATCGATTTCCATTGTCTGACCCAGCAAATCCCCTTTGAGGCCGTAGGGGCAGTGGGTTGTTTATTCACTATCATGGGTATTGAAAGACATCTCATCGCTCTTCTGGGTGTCTAACCTTCACTGACTCGGCCGAGGGGTCTAGACTTTTTAGCCGAATGGTTAGAGCGTCAGGGTTGTGAGCTGGCGCCCAGGTTTGGCGTGGGTTCGATCCCCGGCCCGGGGCCAGGAGTGTCTTTCTGTTTCTACTCTCCTAATCCTTACAGCATCTCAGGTAGGAGCTTTCTGAGCGACCTTCCCGACCTGTGTACTTGATTGATGTTTTTGGTTTCTCTCCAACTCACCACAAGTGCACAACCTTTATACACCCGTCCGTCCAACACTCCATGAGCGATCACGTCCTGGACATGCTAAAGGTCGTCCTGTGCACCTTTTTGTAGCAGACCTTTTGAAATGTTCGAGGGCTCGAACCCGGACCTCTGGGTCAGAGTCGAGCACTCTGCCGTTACGCCACACGACCCCACACATGCCACCTATTCCCTTGGGAAAGACACTTTACACGACTTTCTTCACTTAACTCATGTGAAAAAAGAGTATTATCCTGTCCTGTATTTGTGCTCTATTTGCGTTGGTGGCGGCATAAAATAGGTCGAAATAACTTGAGTGTGTCGTCACCATATGTCCAGACATGAAATGTTAGAATTTAGAAAAATTGTTCGAGTGCTGATATAAAGTCATCTCCCGCTTTTAAAGGTGCCGAGTGCAGATTTTAGGGCTTGAAAAGAAATTTTTTCAAAGTCGTTATATTCTTCTCAATTATCTACATACTAGGTCCACGATAAACTACACGATACCAATGTTTATCGACATTTATGGAGCAAAAAGACTGAAATTTGTGACCGAAAACGGTTCCTGGTAGTATCCTGGGCTGCTTTTTAGGGTACCACCCAGAAAATAAAGAACTCGTCTTGGGGATTATTTCTGTGCTGAAACGTGAAGCAAAAGAAAAAGAGCGAAAAGGGACAAGAAAAAAAATCATGAGAGAGCACCATCCACAAAATCAATATCAGAAAGCCTCCATCTCCAAACCAAGGAAGTTTCCATTGTGCTCCGTACTCTATTACATCAATAACTGCAGGAAACATCCATCAATTCAGAAAACAGGACCTTCTGCGACCTTTCCTTAAAGGAATCTTTAAAAGGGTTCAGAGATGCATTAGAGGTTGCGACCCCCGTCTCCATTGATAAAAGTCTTTTAGCAAAGTTAATTTGTCTCCCAGTATTGAGGTTTTTGTCAGGTTTAACCGGCTGCCCCCTATCGAATACAGGTCTGTGCACTTGGCCTTAGCAATGACGTCTCAATACATGGAAGTATTTTAGAATTCCCAGTAGTGGTAG